ACCGATATCCACTTTTTTCGTGGACAGGGAGAGGCGTGGCCATGCATGCATTCAACTTTGAATGGAGGTTTTCTATTTTCATACAAAATTTCCTCCTTTTATTAAATAAGGAATTTATGACCTCTTGAGAGTCTTCAGCACAACGGAAGATCTGTGAGTAGGACTTGAATGCTGCCGGTGCAGTGATTCGAACCTTGGGGTCGGGTTTCGACCATATGAATGATTATTTATTTATTTATTTATATATTTTTGACACGAATACAGTAAATCTCTATTTCAGGAAAAGTAAGTTATCCCCAGCCAGGTTCGGCCAGGGTATTAGTTTACAAAGAACTCACATTGTACCAAACAACTATTTCCTATGACCTTCCTTGCTAAGATAGTTTCTACTTTGGCTTGTCACCTACCCAACTTCCTAATATCTGGTTTATACACCATAGTTGATGGAATTGCAGAATGTGACTGGCTCCAAGGAGTGGTCTACATCTCATATTTTCTTGCATTTTGAGCCATGTGTTCTTTCCATAGTCTACTAGTTGTAGCCACATATAGTGATACACTTATTGCTCAACAGACCAAAAAATACCGTGAAAAGCCACATCACAATTCCACGTAACAATAACCAAATTTGGTTGACCTTCTTGAAATGCCTTGATATTCTACATGCAAATACATAGTAGATCCATAAAGGTTTAAATTGTAAATGTCAAATTCCTTGTAAAGTTTCTCTCTTTGAGCCCCCTCATACTCTTTGATATCCCACTCTATAACCCTATGTATTTGTGTTACCAATACTATTGTCTCTTTGATGAATGGTCACTTGCTGCTTTGTCATTAGGATGAGCAATTAGAGGAGGTGGATCCTCCACCTAAATGCTCTAGATGCAAATTTGCATTCCTAAAAATAATGCAACACTATTTCTTTCGAGCTATTTATACAAATAAGTATTAAGGGCATAAACCTTGAAGAACCAAACATTCAATATATTCTTGTATTATTCAAAAATAATAGATATTTATTCAAAACTAATATAGTATTAAAACTAGAATGACTATTGCCAAAGAAAAAAAAGACTAGAAAGTCTTGAAATAAGACTAAGGATTAAAAAGACATTGATAAGAGTGAAGAAGCCTTTACTCTTGCTTCTATATATACTATCTAACTAAATGCAATATAGCGACGTTCTATAGAACCTCTACCATGTATTTAATTTGCAAGACATATGTTTAAACTTACAAGACAAGTTTTATATATGTGAGCTACATCGTTTGCTTGTACTACAAGTTGTCAATACATGCAACACTTGGCTAACTTATTGACCAAGTATCTAACCTATAAATCACCTATAGACACATATAAAGGCAAAAATGCTTCTATAAAGCTTTTAGGAAGCTTTTCTACAAGATATTATCAAATTAACCTATTTTTACCTACTTCTACTTATTCATATTATTTAAATAAGTATTAGAATAAAAATATATGTCCATAATAATAAAATGTTAATTGTCAATATTACTACTCACTTATCTTTGCCAAAAATTAATTGTGGTTATTCTATGCTAGGTTAACCAAAGAAGACCAACTTCTTCTCAAGCTCTCTTATCATTCTACATATTAGTTCACTTCAACTTTGTAGCTTTGCAGTAACATGCCTTTCCACTTTCTAACAACTACATTTAAAAGTTCATGTCATTTTTAAATTAGTGAGCACCCCATTGCTACATTGTATTGCATAAATGGAGATTGATTAGGCCATTGATATTGGCCGAGGCTCGACACCAACCTATCAATCCGGCCGTAGTATAATTAGATTATTATTATTATTATTATTATTTTTCGTCCTTTTGTTATTGAAATGACCATGATTCATTTCAAAATATCAATAATGTCTATACCCTCTTCACCTTTGTTTACAACCTCTTTATACAAATTTTACTTCCAATTCTATTGGATTTTGAAAAGTGTCAAAGTGTTCTCTCTAGTTTGTACATACATATCTAAGTAGGAATCTGGACCTCCATTGCAAATAAGTCTGTTTGATATAAGTTGTTAGTTTGTTATATAACAAAGGAATAAAAAGAGTCTTCCAAGGCAAATACTGCCACTCACTTGCCTATCCATAGCTCTTGTATTGGGTTAAGAAAGAGTTGTGTCCTTTGTTAGGTCAACATGTGAACTATGGCTATCTATATCCCTTCCTTTTCTTGTTTGAAGCCAAATCTATTTGCCACATCTACAAATGAGAAGAAATTTTTGTTTTTCACACACATCTAAACTTTTTATGTCTATAGATATAAATTTCTATTGTTTTTTTTTTTTTTTTTTTTTAATATGATAGATCTAATATTAATAAGTTCTTAATTGTACCAAAAAATCCAATTCTTCCATCCTTCTCAGCATGTTGAAAGGATGAGTGGCACTTTTGGAAGGAATTCCTTCTATGTTTATTCAATTCTATTCTATTCTTTTGAACCTTTGTACTTTGATGACTCTTAAGTGTGAAAAAATCAAGACTTGGTTTCTACCTCTTTTTAGCATATGATTGGAATTTGAAAAGATAATATCTTAGCAATAAGTATAAATTAGACTCTAATGTTTTCATGGCTTTCACAATCCATTTGCCTAACAATGCAAGTATTATATTTGATGGATTAATGAGGTTAATCCTCCTTTTATAAAAAAATTGACATCATTTTAGCCATGCCACTTTAGTTTGGGCCCAATACATAGTTTCTCTTGCTAGTTAGTTACTTAATAAGGCTTTAATCTTTGATAAGCCATTTTTTGTTCCTTCTCATAGTAAAATAAAATAAAACATGGTTGACAAAAGTACATTATTGGCAATTGTTTCTCTTCTTGTTGTATTGATCATTATAAAGTATTGATGATTCAATTTTTTATTTATTTTTTCTTATAAAAAGAAGTCAAATTCATTTAAAGTTAATAAAAGGCTATCTGGTGCTCCCAATAATTTACTCATCATTTTCATTAGTCTATATAATGCCTATTTTATTAGTCCATTATGATCTAATAGGAGAATGTATACTCTTCCAATGCCTTTTTGAATTGGTTTAGATTAGAATGAATCTCAAGTCCAAATAAAATGTATCAAAGAATGAATGTTTTGCATATTTTGGTTGATAAAAATTAAATTTACTTTAGAAGGATATGGTTGGTGGTCACCCTCAACTTACCAGAATTAAGAGTACTTGGTCTTTTGGTATCAACAAATATTGAAAGGAAATAAAAGACAACTCTATGAAGAACTCTCCAAATAAGGATCACAACATGAGTTTATTGAAGGGTAATGAGTCACTCTTGAGTCCACTCTTAACTATATTTTAACCATTAATTGGATATACTAACATAAGTTTTGGTTATTGTAATGACAAAGAGAGTTTGACTTGGATCATAATGAGAATTTTTAAAATATAAAATAAAAATATTTCTAACTTCTTGAAAACAAGAGGTAGGAAAAAAAAGAACACTATACAACTGTCTATAATTTTATAATGTATGTTTCATTATCTTGAAGTTCACAATAAAGACTTTCAATGTAATTCAATCAATCCTTGTGTGTCTACTTTTAGAGAGGGGTTTAATAAAAAATTGATGCATTTCTTAAAACTCCCTGGCATTGATGTTTAGCAGTAAACAAGGCCGCTTTGGTTGAAATATATTTATGTATGTATACAAAGAGTAATTTGTGGGGATAAACAGTAAACTCAATTATGTGATGAGCTGGGAACAAGACTTGGAGTAGGTTATTTAGTTAGAATAGTACACTGGGGTATGTGCTTGATTGAACATCACTCTTACCCATCCATCTTTTCTGTGAAGTAGATACAAAAAAGTGGATTGAAATAAATGAGCAAAAAGAAATCAAATCAAATCGAAATAGAGAGTAGAATTTGAACATTATATTCATGTGTGTTGTTTCACATGAGACTTTAATAAATCATACAAAAGGATACAAAAAAGAAAAAAGAATTAAAAGAGGAAAAAAAAAAAAACAAACAAATCAAAACAAAAAACAAGGAAGGAACGGTGATGTTAGCATTTTTGGAAAGTACACCCAAAGGAACAAACTGTAGGGCAGGCAAAGGATATCCTGCAGTGGCATATTATGCAAGTGCTCTTGAAGAACCTTTCACAAACAGAAGGGTGGGGAACCGTAACCTAACTGTTGCTCAAACTCAAAGCAAACATCATCAGTAGCAGGAAGAAAGAAAGAAAACTGAAATAAAATGTACATATACACACACACACACACATATATATATATATATATATATACACACACACACACACATATATATATATATATACACACACACATACACTCTCTGTGTACACATGACCCACACAAAATGCTCTCTAGAATCCTGGCTACTTGCCTTCCAAAGCACTCCACTGGGTTGGCTTTTCATCTAACCAGCACACAACACCAAGGGTGCAGCTTGAGATAGTACCTACGTTCCTTATGCCAGCAGCTCTTCGCAAGTGTAAACTACTCTGCAGGCTTTGAAACGGCTGCCCACTCAAGGGCTCTTTTGGTCATGGGTTCTGTGCGCTCGTACAATAAGCTCTTCCTCTTCCATGAAAAAAGTAAAACAGCAGTCAACTTCAATCTAACAACCCTTTGAAAACATGCGCACAAGTGATGTCAGCATTTCTGCTGTTGACAAAAGGCTGTAAACTCACCTGCATTACATCTGAGCAGTCACTTCATTCTATCAAGTGTGACTTGAACGTCCACTTACAGGATGTATCGTACGCGCTGTCTGGTCAAATGAGTCTCTTCCAGCAGAAATATATTCGAACATACTGCAAACACACACAATGTATCTGAACTTAGATTTTGTGTGCTGTAGTTTGTACAATCTCGCCCGGTGCTGATAGAAAATCTTCGAAAAGATTCTCTGCTTCTGGAGACATTGCTTCAGGACACACACAAAACATTCCCAATTGGCACTGCGCGAATTAACGCTCAGATGTATTTCACACTTCAACAAGTAAAATTTTAGCGCAAATCGGTGACTACTTTATAATGAAAGTCTAGCCACACTTCAAGATCATGACTTGGAAGGCTGCTGACGAGTTTAATGCTTGATTGTCAGGAGTTATAATAGATACGTCGATAGTATACTCTACATTCGTAGATCGAATTTACCATGACTACCCAAGTTAAACGAGGAAAATCCCGCATCCGCAGCCATAAGGACCTGTGATCATGCTCCTCGCACTCACATATATCGTATTCCAAGTGTTTGTACGAAGCTAAACTCGACATACGGAATAATCGTTTATCTGTCATGCTAATCAAACTTAATTTTTCTGAGAAGTTGCGCGATAAGCGTGATATGCAAAATACACAGCAGTTACTGCAGTTGCGACAGCCAATGTATCTCCAGATTCCCAATCTTCAACCCATGCTGGCCACTTAAACCTAGGCTTTTTCTTTTCCACGTACGGTTTGAGTGGGCCTTCTTCCTCTTGTTCATCCCCACACATTTGATGCAGGTCACGTGATCCAATGCGTGGAAGAAGAGGAGGAGGATGCTTTCTCCGAGCAGGAACGGCTGCTCCATTAGGTGTTGCAGTCGCAGCATCCATCTTCCCCTCCGGCTCATTGTCTTCTCTGACTTCCCCAGTTGGCTTACTAGAAGGATTTCTTCTCTGCTGGACTTCCTTCTGCTGATCCTCGGTCAATCCCATTTGGCCCCTGACGACGCAAAACATGATGTTTCAGATTCATAATTTTCAATTTTTTTTGAAAAGTTGATGTGAAGTTATAGTACTTTGAATTCACTTAAAATCCAATAGTTTCTCAAATTGAGTTAGTATTACCTCCAAAGCCGATCCACCACCTGTCCAAGGCCAATGTGCTTCTCCAAAAGCTCCGGAACATCTTCAGGTGTTACGTACCCATACCTGAACCGCAAACAAGTATGTTCTAAAATGAGTTGTCCTAGAGGTCAGCAAAGAAAAGCACCTAAAGCCTCAAGCCATTCCACATCTTTAAGCAGAACACCCAAAGCATGATACCAGAGAAGAAAGGAGCACTGATTTCCAACTGCATTTCATGATATCTTCGACTAGATAAAGTACATAGCCCTGAAAAGTGACGATGATGCACTGAAAAGCTCGGAAATTCACCACATGAAGTACACGGGAACCCAACAGAGTCATGAATGTTGAAATTCAAAAAGAAAATTAAAAAGTTGCCGATACGATTTAAGTTTTTAGATATTTTTGGGTTTCCCCACTAAAATGACAATGCACCGTTCTAAACACTCACCAGTGCCCTGAGCAACTTCCAGAACCTCCATCATGCCTGAACACGATGACATTGCCAGCATACTTGTGGCCACCAATGTGGGAGCAATAGTTTACAAACACTTGTTCACCTAGCCCGCGCACAGCGATCTCCTGATTGAAACGCTCTCTTAAAGGAGGTCCGCACACACCACACCGCTTGTCACGACTCCCATGTCCACAAATAAAAACATAGCTCCCCACGAGAGGCTCCGGTTCACCTAAGGCCCACGCGTCCCCCTTGACCAGTACTTCATCGATAAAGGATTCAACATCTGATTCTGCAATTCCCCTGCAAGAGCATGATGCATATTGTATAAAAATTACAGTGGTTCGGTTAGACCATCTACAAAATCAAAGTATGTAATTCGAAGAAATTAACAGTTACCAAGGAAGATACAAGGCTAAAAATTCGTAACACATTATGTGTATCTACGATAGAAATCCAGGAAAAGCGAACTCACTTGTATTTCAGCATGTCCGGAAACATCAAGATGTCACCGTTTGTCTTCTCAGGCTCATCCTGACCTTCAGCTATAGTCAAGCGGGTCTACAAAAAAAATATATAAAAAAAATGTTAATATTAATAATAATATTAATATTTAGTCTGAAGAAATATTAGTGGCTTCGCAAATAACATAAAACCATAGAGAGCTTGTGTTATCAAGTTCCAATACTGTAACAAAATAATAGCCACCCTGGAGGAGTTTCCAGGCATTTTAAATTAATCAGAAGTGCAGATTGTGAAGTCTTAGTTTCTCATGATCAAAGCAGATGGCAGAATATTTTGATTAAGTCTTTCTCAGCAGACTTCTACGTGTCAGGTGATGAGGTCAGTAGCAAGTATTGATCAGAATTTGATTGTCAAGAAGATCGACAAGCGTCTAATTGATATTGTTTTCTGCGATTCAATCATTACATTTCTCCAGTAACAACTCGCCTAAATTTTTTCTCCTACAAATATTTCATGATTGCTTCTTGAACGAAACCTAGATTCAGGGAACTTGTCTACAAGTTTTTCTTATTTTCACCAGCATGAAACCTAGCTTCCGGAATTGTATAGCACAATCGTCCGACTATTCAGCCATCGTTCCACACATTGGTTCAACCAACGAACACGAGTATAGTTCAACAAATATAATCGGTGCAGTGGCTGCACAACGCGTATGTGCACAACTAAGAGATCTAACGATACCAAGACAAGCTAAACACAATCAGACGGGCTATAATCGTGACCAGAGACTTTCAAGGATCGTCAGCAACATACTACAGCAGAGGTCCGTGCGGAGTGGGGACTTCTGACGTCATATCTAATCGTGAAATGCGTTGAATGGTATTTGCATGGACACCAGTTCACAAATGAGAGATATGTAAACATTTACAAAGAAATAAGTGAAGCCGAACAACCGTAGTCAGTTCCTCCAGACACTTAACCTTCTTTGTACAATAGCTTATCACATACCTGTATGCCAATTATGTTCCACGAACGTGCCTAAATCGAAACAATCTGAAGTTACATCTCTTGGCAAGAGTGAAACAAAAACCAAGAAAAGTTGGAAATATTCACATACCTTCTTCGGTAAATCGTTTTTCTTATTACGGAGCGCATTGACCAATTTCGACGGCAAAGGATGATAGTCTGAAGCTTCCACTTTCGATGGCCAGCTACTTGGTTGATTGTAGCGCAAGAATATGTGGCGTTCGTACAAGTCCACACTTCCAACCAGAGGTTTTTTATTCATCATTTCAAGTCTCGTGAATCCATACGTTGCATCTAAGCTCTCGTCAGCGCTGCCCGCATCCACCTCCTCTATTCCAGCTCTCTCGACGACGGGCTCTTCGGCTACAGAATTGCTTGCCATGGTGGCAACCAATCTTCTGCCAGAGCCTGTAGAACGTAAACCGACGCTCGATCTGAGAAGAAAGCAAACTCCACAGATGAAACCTACCGATGAGTCAGCAAACGAGGCGGTAAACGACACGAACAGTGACTTGTTCTGCAGAGGCTCCAATCCCGATGCATTAAACTTATTAAACGCCCTACAGCACGCAGCGGTCCTAAATCTGACCACACTCGGAAACGCAAAGAAAGCTAGAACGCCTCTACCTCTATCCCCTCGAAAGCCTCACAAACCAGCCACAGCGCACACTCCACACTCCATCCCCTCACCTCAAAAGCCTACTCCACTCGCCAAGCCAATCGTGTCCAACATCTTCAAAAGCTTCACAATCCCTTCCACGACCAGCTCAATTCCGACACGCAGGACACTAACTGACATGATCAATGTGCAAAAAAAAATCCTAAACGGGCCTTTCTGCCACCAATGCCACACGATCCCCGACCATAAACCGCACCAAAATATCAAATACTCACACCCTCTTGGATGCTTCAAATCCCGAGTTACCCGCCAAGAATTGATGATGCAGGAATCCAACGTAACGCAGATTCACCCGGTATGTGGTGCGGTACGGCGTGAGCCTCTCGCAACGTAAGCAATCCACGAAACTCTCTAACGCGCGCCGCGATAGTGTGCCTTTGGTTGGCTATGGCGGCTCTGCAATGCACGGGATTGCACGCTCCATTCCACGGCGGCGGCACTCGGGGTCTCCGCCCTCCTGGTCTCCGTCACCTTTTCGACTCCATTAAGGTCATGATGCAATGCATGCTCCTTTTTTTCACGCAGAGTTGCACTCTACTTTGGGTTCAGGTCGTGTGAGTTTCCATCTTGGCTCCTCCTTGTTGGCTGGTGTGTCATCACTCCCACCTTTGTTTCAGCCATGGCCAATCCCTCAATTTTATTTTGGGCCTGGTATTCCACACGGCCTCTGGATATTCTTTTATGTTCTAGCCTATCCTTCCCCTGCCTTCTATCTCTGTAATGTGGGTATCTATTCAATCTCTTAACCATTTGCTTGGCTTGAAATTTGATTAAATTGCTTGCTTGCTAAGGTATGGTCATTCCATACTTGTGTGTACTTGTTCAAGGTCATGAGCTTCTCAACTACCCCAACTTGGTTTGTTGTCTGTACTTTTTGTGAATTTATTTGGAGATTAGCATGGTAATTTTTTTGAACTTTATTACAAGTTGACAAGAATGTGTGTGACTTAATGAAAAATGTAAAAGAATATGGAAGACTGTGTAAAGGTTTCATTTAAATTGAATTCTAAAGAAAAGTGGAATAGATGTTTAGAACTAAGGTATCTAGGTCAAGTAATGGAAAAAATAGATTAATAGTAAATTTGTTGTTGTTTAGGCTCATAAAATTTCAATTCATTGGTTTTTTAAAACTTATGATGATCTTTAATTAATTAATTTTTTTTAAAAAAATTACAAACAAAATCAATTTTAGTTGATGAATTATCATCATTCAATTACAATATTATTCTTAATATTAGACTATCTAAGTATATAATAAAAATTTGATTAAATTAAATTAAATTAAATTAAATCAATCTAATTTTTTAATCTTTTGGATTATTTAATATTAAATACAAAACAAAAAAAAACTTCTAAATAATAAGAAAGACTATTCTTAAACTTAAATTTACTAAAATCATCATGAAGTTTAGTTTTAACATCATGATTAGAAATTTTGTTAATTTACTAAAATAAAGTTTATTAAAAGAAATAATCTCAATTAAAATTGTTAGCTTAATAATTTAAAGATGCAATTATTTGGATTGCAAAAGAAAAATTTGTTGTTGATTATACAATATATTTCTTTTTTTTAATACAAATTAAGAATGTCTACACAAAGCATTTAACAAGCCTTATTATTTTCTAAGACAATATGTAATATATAAAATACTTCATGATATAGAAATACTTTAATAGACTTGGCAACAATTAAAAACATGTATTGATATGAAATATTTAAGATTCTAGTAATTTGTATAAATTATAATTGAATGAGAAGCATCTTTTAGGTGTTACAAATATAGATATTTATTTCAATAATTACCTATATGATTAGATAGAAGTATATAAAAGTAGATTAATTGGATAATATCTTATGGAGAAGCTCTTTAGAAGCTTCATAGATGTGGCTTTGATTTTACATGTGTTTGTAGTTAATTGGTAGGATAGAAACTTATTCAATAAAGTAGCTACATGTTGCACATGTTGATAGCTTATGGAATAAGCTAACTATATGGCGCATACATAGGAAATTTTATTTTATAAGTTAAGACATATGTCATGCAATTTGAACATATATTGGAAGTCCCATAGAATGTAGCCACGTAACTCCTACTTAAATAGTACATATAGAGGCAAGAATAAAGTCCCTTTCACTCTTGTCAATGTCTTTTTAGTTCTTAATGTTGTTTTAAGACTTTTTAGTCTTCTTGTTTTTGGCAATAGGCATACTAGTTTAATATTATATCATCTTTGAATGATTCTTTAGTTTTTTTGAGTGACACAAGAGAGTATTGATCTTTAAATTTATTGAAATTTATGTCCTTGAAAGTTTGACAAGAGACCTAATTCATTATTCACATTTAATTCTAGAAAAGAATAGATTATTATACTTCTATTATTATATTTTTAGAAATTATAAACCATCCACTTTTAAATTTATTTATAATTTTTTAATACTAATTTTTTTCTTAAAAGAGAAGATTATTTCTCTTTGTAGAAATTTTTATTTGATATTAGAGGTTATAAATTACTCTCTTCTAGTTTAACTATTTGAATTTATTTGAGTTGTCTTTGCAAAAATAAATTATAGATACTACTCTCGGCATAAGTGAGAATAGATTTGAAACTATTGCAAATCTTTACAAGCTTTTCAATACTTTTAGGATGAAAATCTTACATATTTTCAATGTGAATCAGGATGGTATTATTCCTATGCCTATGGAATAAATCAACAATGAACTTCAAAGTCTGCGCCAATAAATTGTATAATTAAGAGAAGTAAGTAGATTAAATTCATAATTATATCTAAAAAGTCTTGTTACTACAAGTATAAAGGAAGCAATGATAAGAATGCTCAAGAAGCTTGATGAAACAAGATCAAAGTTTAGAGAGTTTTTATAATAAATAAAGTTCTATCTAAGGTTGAATCTTTTTTAATATTCTTGATAGATTTATTCAAGTTAAATTCATAAAAATACTTCTTTCTAAGAGAGCTCTTTCTTGATTTACACTTTTGATGCAAAAAAAATCAAGACTACTCTATGATTTGAATTCATTTTTAGAAGTATTTATAATCACATTTAAAAAAAATGATTGAAAAAGAGTGGAATAGACCAAGCTCGTAATTTTACAATAAGGATGATATTTAACCACCATATATGCTGCTAAATTTCAAAATCTTGCTAGCAATGTGAATTATAATGAAAAAGTGCTTATCAATCAATTTCAATATGGATTAAAAGATAATATCAAAGATTTATTGTGGACAATATGAAGAGCAAACTCATTACAATAATTTATTGCTTAAGCCATTGCATGAGAGAATTGACCATTTGAAAGACATCAAGAATAAAGATATAATTGGAGAGATACAAGTCAAGTTATGGTGATACAGAAGTGTCAATTTTTGCTATATATGTAATATCTATTTTTAATAAAAAATAGATTTCAAATGGTATTTCAAGCTAATATCAAAAATATTAAGATATTTTTGAAAAGAAGAATTAGATTTTATTCTAAAGTATTGTTCCTATGATTATTTCATTGATCTTCAAAAAAGAGCTCGATTACTATTTGGACCAATATATAGCCTATTACAAAATGAATTGGCTATACTTAAGGAATATATTGACAAGAATTCAACCAAAAACTTCATATGCCATTTTAAATCTCTAGCAAGAGCTCCTATCTTATTTATGAAGAAAAAAGATTGACCTTTGGATATATATATATATATATATATATATATATATATCTATATATAAAAGGACTATTAAAGATTCAACAAGATTATTATTAAGAATAGATATCTTTTTTCTTTAATTTTAGAACTTTTTGAATAATTTAATGAAAGGAAGATCTATATAAAAATAAATCTATAAAGAACATATAACTTAATATACATTAAAAAAAAAGATGAATGGAAAACTATATTTTGAATCAAAAATAAGAATTTCAAATTTAATATCATGTTGTTCGGACTTACAAATATACCAACTACTTTTTAAAATTTAATAAATGATGTCTTTTGTACATTTTTTGATGATTTTGTTATCTATTATCAAAAAAATATCCTAATTTATGCTAAAAATATTGAAGAACATGAATTTTATGTTTGTCATGAGTTACAAAAATTAAGAGATGCAAGATTAAATATGGAGATAAAAAAGTATATATTTTATACTACTCAAGTTGACTTCTTAAGATATATCATTTTGTCACGGACACAGAAATACAGACTTGAGATCTAACAAGAAGTTCAAGAAGAACTGGCAAGAATTAGATTAATCAGATGAATACAAGAACAACACCAGAGAGGTGAGCTAAAGCTCTAAGAGATGTGTTGTCGAGAACGAAGAATTTTTCAGCCTCGATTCTAATATATACTCCTATTTAGGAAGCTTCTCAAGCAACTTCTACCAACTAGGAAGCTTCTAGAAGGTTCCAGAGACTTGCTTCTAGAAGGTTCTAGAAACTTATCTCTAGAAGGTTCTAAGGACTATGTCCCTAACATCTTCTACCAACTAAAAAGCTTCTAGAAGGTTCTAGAGACTTGCTTCTAGAAGGTTCTAGAAACTTGTCTCTAGAAGGTTCTAAAGACTATGTTCCTAACATCACCCTCTCCTTTAGCTTCGAGGTCTCTGAGAAGCAATGTTGTTGTTAATCAGTACCAATGCAAGAAAATAAAGATCTGTTACATAACGTCTACTATGAACTCTAACCGTTGTTCACAAGGCAAGTGGTTCATCTGCCCTTGAAGCCAATGGTAGTGGTCCACTCCTTCAACTTCTGACCAAGCATGAACTTCCGTGTCCTCATTATGAAATTGTCCTACAAACACGCCTTCTGGTTGACCATCGTAAGGAGGCTCGGACTCAAATATAATCATCAATGATCGGTTACTTGGTATCCTCCATCGTCGTTGTGGTGTATGCGGTCCTTCATCTCGGGGTCGCCTTCATGAGCTAGTTGGTTGAGATAATCTGACTGGCATTGTATCTATCTCTTGGCTATCCATATCAGAAGACCAAACTATGGCTACTGAAAAAATTCTATTTTATTTTGGAGAAAATAACTACATCAACTACAAATTTTGGTGGTGCTCTCCCCCTTTCTTATATTCTTAGGTGAGCAAACTTCAGAAGGAAGCTATCGTCGAACCGACTTAGGTTTATAAGGATGTTATTGATGAAACTCCTGTACCTTTTGCGATGCATTGGCGAGATTTTCAGTTGGCTCCTACGTTTGCTCATTAATATCGTAGCCGCATCAATGAACAAGATACTCCAACTTGCCCCACCTTCGCTGTTATCCAACATCTTTTCAACCTCGTATTCCTCGTGGTTCTCGATCTCAATACTAGGTGGCGGACATTGCACTCTTCCAGGAAAAGACGACTCTCGATAAGGCTCCAATAGAGAAACATGAAAGACTGGATGTACCTTCATAGAAGCCGATAATTCCAGATGGTACGCCACTAGATTGATTTATT